CACCTCAAAGAGTTCCCCCAGCCTTTCTGAGCCTCAGTTTCCCTACAGGTGGCATAGGAATGGTGGCCAAACACAAGAGACCCAAGGTGGGAGAAAAGGGGGTCAGACCCACACTCCCCCAAGTTTGGTCTCTCTAACCCCGCCCCCCACGGCCCCACCCACGCACTCAGCTCCTCAGAGAGAGGGGGGAAGTCGTAGATGTGCTCGCAGGTGTTCTTGCTGCTGGGGATGCAGAAGCCAAAGTGGAAGTCAAAACTTTTGAGGAGCTGGTTGCGAAAGTAGTGCCTCTCAATCATGCGGAAGTTGTTGACAGGCTTGTCTCCCACTGTGAACTCCACCCTGACGGACAGGAGGAGACAGAGCTGAGCTTGGCCTTGAAGTCAGCCGGCAAGGCTCAAGACAGACACCACCCCCCAAAGGAGAGGCTCAGTAAGAACTCAGGAGGGGCTCATTCCACCCTCACCCTTACCCCCAGGCCTTGTCCATTCCCCCCCAAAACTCCCCCACCTCCATCCAGTGACTCACGTGGCTCCCACCTGCCTCAGGCGGAGGAAGGCAGGTGTGAACTGGTAGCGGACAAAGCGCCCAGCATTGGGGTCCAGGTCCCGCCGGTTGATGGGCAACCGCTCTGTAATGTACCCCAACTGGGGCTCAGAGGGCTTCAGGCTGGGGCCCGGGCCCACCCAGGGTTCCACCCCAGGGCCCCCATCTGTCTGAATTCTTAAAAAATTCCCCCAGGAGATTCTGATGCACATTGAGGGTTCAGACCTTTGGCCAAATGGTTCCACCCAGAAGGGGGGGGGTGATTTCTAGGTCAGCAGGTCACCAATTTCAACCGAGGTTCCCAGGGCCCCAGGAGAGAGAGGCCTGGGGCCTCTGGGACTGCAGTTCCCAGGAAGGCCTGCAGAGGGCAGGCTGGCAGGGACCAAAGGGGCCAGACTGTCCTCCCAAGATGTCCAGCCCCAGAAACAGATGGGAAAGGAAAGCAGAGGCCCAGGCCCAGCCCCAGCCCTGCTCTGACCCCTCTGCAGCCTGAGGAATCCCTGGGCAACCCACTTCACAGCCCTCGCCCACGTCGTCCTTCTGTCGATGGCCTACCGCTCACCTGAGACTGGGGGCTTCTTGATTTCAAAGAGGACAGTGCCTGAGTCCATGTCTCGAATCTTGAACCTGATAAAGTCGATCTTGTAGATATTCTCCTCGGGGGAGCACAGGTAGTCTAGGGAAGACAGGCAGCTAAGCAAAAGAGGGACCCGCCCAGAAGCCCCTGCTAGCAGCTCAGCCTTTGGGGGACCCCAGACTAGCTACCACTTTCTCTGATTCCGGAAGGTCACTGCCTTCCAGAAAGAGAGGACTGAGTCCCTGCCTTGAGGGAGCACTCAGAGTGTGGGGGATACGCAGCTCTGTCACTTGAATCTAATGAGAGACCAACAGCTCTATCCTCTGAGGCCTTGGAGGCCAGGGAGGGGGGCAGGGTGGAGGAGGGTGGATGACAAGGCCACCCCCCCTCCCACAGTTTCCCTCCCATCCGGAGCTGTGGGGCCTTATTCCGGCCTCTGCTCTGCCAGGGCCAGCTCAGTGACTTTGAGCCAGATGGGTCCCCAATCTAATGAGGAGCCCCAGCACGAGAGGGTTACAGCCCTGCCTTTGAGAACCTCGTGCTAAAGAGGGTGACATAACTCTGCCTCAGGAGATACACAGTACTTCCCTGAAGAACATTCCCCCCTCCACCACATAGCTGCCCCTGGAGCTACATTAGGAGTGTCAGGCAAGGACTTCCCTGACCTGGGTGGTGCTAGGGCAGGCCAACAACCCCTCCCCGGTTCCTCCCCACCCCCCTCCTCGCCCCATAAGCGGCTTATATAAGCCCAGCTCCCTTAAGCAGCTTAGCCAAAGCTCTGCTGACTCAAGCCCAGATCCTGGAATACTGGGGGAAGGGGGCCACCTTTGCTCCCATCCCCTGTTGATCTCCAAATGGGAGGAAGTCTTAGCAAACAGAGGGAACCCCCTGAAAGCTCATCTACCCAACCTTAGCTCTGAGCCACCCCCAGAGAGAAGAGTACAAGCAAAGCCAGGAAGAGGGTGTGGCAGGTGCATTTGGGGGTGTGCATGGGGGGAAAGGGAGTCCTCAGGCCCAGAAGAGGAACTGGGAACAGTGGTGAGCCGTGGCTGAGGAAGCTTGCTTAGGAATATCAGAGCCTGACCCAACCCTCACTTCTCCTGCAGCAGCAACTGCAAGTGCTCAGGGAGGCCCTGGCAATACACCGAAAGGAGGAGTGGTGGGTCTGGCGCTGTCAGCCCGCAAGCCATCACATCCTCCCCATAGAGGCCCGGAAATCACCCTCCAGGCCCCTGGGCCACCTCCTATTCCTCTGGGTCAGGAAGAGGAAGTGAATGTAAAGTCCTTCTCTCTTCCCCAAGCCCGGGGCCGCCCCCTCCAGGAGGCCCTCCTGGTAGCCTCCTGGCACCCTAGGGTCCAGCAGGGCTTGGGGGAGGGGCCAGATCCCTGGCCTGTCCGCCACAGTCCATGGTGGGGAGAGAGAGAAAGAGGAGGAAGGCCAGGGGGCAGCCCTTCCCTCACCCTAGACACACCTTATTTTCACAGAAAGTAAGCACCGGTCCAAAGATGTAGAAAGAAAGTACAGGTCACAAGGAGAAGAGGTGGCAGAACTGGGAGCAGAATCCGAGCTGCCCAACTCCAGCTCCCGGGAAAGCCCTTCCTTCTCCACATTCTCCTGCTCTTGGAGCCTCCCCTCTCATGCCAGAGTAAATTCTTACAGTCTGCCCTCAGCCTCTTCTACCACACCTGGAATTATCAGCCCTTTTGCCCTTAGAGGAAGTGAGGGAAGTGGGATGCCCGTGGCTCAGAAGGCTGCACCCACACCCTCCCTTCGGCCAAGGGAAGGATGAAGCCTGGGACCCAGGGTCAGGCCAGATAAAGGGGCAGAGTGGCCAAAGGCTCAGAACACAACTGCCCCCTTTCCCTCTGCCACAAATAGCTTCCTAAGCTGGATTCAGGGTTGATAATCCAGGAGGAGCAAACCTCAGACCTGTGTGATTAGGGTCAAAAGAGACCAGGGGGTGCCAAAGTGGAGATTCCCTGGAACCCAGCTCTCGGCTTCTATAGAGGAAAGGGTTCCTATGAAGCCCCTTCCTTCCCCTGTTCATCCCCCCACAAACGCCCCATCTCTAAGGGCTATGACTCTCCTCCAAATTAGGAGACACATGGCAGTACATGGGCTGGAAGCCCCCACAGTTGCAAAGTGAGCTCTAAAGTTACTGAAGACCCAGACAGGTCAGCCTGACCTCCAAACATCCTGGAAGTTCTGCCCCCATTCTAAATGCTGCTGTTGCCAGTGACAGCCCAACTGGCACAAACATCAGACTGGTCCAGGCCCCCTCCGTCTACTGGTGTCTGCTGGGGCAAGGCAGCTCAGCGCTCTGGGGGCCCAGCCAAGAATGCTTGCTGCCTGGCTGAGACAGGAGGGAGAAGGCTGGTCCCCCAGGACCCCAGATGCACAGGCCTAGATCTGCCATTACGGTCCCCTCCACGGCTCTGTCTGGCAGCCTCGGGCTCTGCTGCTCCTGCAACTGCAGAGCTCAGGTCCACTCCAGCACCTGCCCCCCACCACCAGAGAGGGGTCCCAGGAGTTGCTCTCACGGAGGAAGTCGGGGCAGGATTACTGATGAATGAAGCTAAGGTAGAGGGCCACTCTCTCTCCAAATGCCTCCGTTCTTTGAGGCTCAGCCGCTGCCTCTGCCATGAGACTTCCTAGTCGTCGCTCCCTGCCTGTGGTAACCTCCTCCCCTGCCCTGAATGCCCAGTTGTTTGCCCCCAGGCAGCAGCCATAAGCAGTCCTGTGGGGCCCTCGGTACTACTTACAAAAGAGCCCTATTTACAGAGCATGCACAGTATGCCAGGCACTAAACAAAATCAGAAAATTAGTTTTCACAAAGGCCCTATAAAGTAGGTGCCATCATCCCCATTTTACAGATGAACATGCTCAGAGAGGTGAAATTACTTGCCCAAGGTCACACAGCCAATTACATGGCATAGCTGGGACTTCAACCCAGGCAGTTCAGCTCAGAAACTCAACCACAGCAGAGACTAGGCC